GAGGCTAAAGCAGGAGGATCACAAGTTTGAGGCCAGCCTGGGTGACACGGTGAGACTGTCTTAAGACAAAAAAAAAAATAATAAGACACATAAAGCTTCTGCAAGGGACTTAAGTAGCACCTACCAAAATCTTGAAGGCACACCCTCTTTAGTCAAAACAGCTCACCTCTGGGAGTTCACCCCAAAGATACAGGGAGACAGCCACCTGCTGTGTAGCAGAGAAAGAATGGATGACAACCTGAAGGTCCATCCTTAGAGGAATCATCACATAGATGATGGCATTTATGCAATGAGGATACTGCAGATGATCAAGACAGCTAAATGAATCCACAGGAGCTAACGATGCTTCCTGATGAGCACCAGGAAGCAGCTTTAGGGCTGACCCCACTTGGTCACATGCTATAAAATCACTTTGAGCCATGAGTCAGTGAGCACTGAGCCACGGCTCTTAGGGGAAGGTAGCAGGTGAGATCTGCTAGCCAACGTGCGTCAGTTGCGCAGTACGCAACTTTGCTTCACGCATTTCTGTTTAATACACTAATTGTTGATTCATCAACACTGACTCTAGGCAAAAAGTACTACAAGCATGGCTGACCAAAGCTTACCTAACACACACACACACATCTCCCCCACAAGGCAGGCTCTTTTTTTTTCTTTTTTGGTGGGACTGGGCTTTGACCTCGGGGCTTCACGCTTGCAAAGCAGGCACTTTACTGTTTGAGCCGCACCTCCAGTCCATTTTGCTGAATATTTTGGAGATGGGGGTCTTGCAAACTGGTTGCCTGTGCTGGCCTTGAATTTTTATTCTCCCCATCTCAGACTCCCTAGTAGCCGGGATTACAGGCATGGGCCACCAGTACCCTTGATGATCAAGGCCTCTTCTGAGCCGAGGGACAGTACCCAGCACCTCTGCACTATGCTTGGGGGCCACTTTAATCAGCAAAACCATCAACAAAAAGTATGAGACAGGGGTAGCCGCTTAGCCACGTGACCACTGTGGCCTGACCTGACTTACTTTTCTGCCTCCTTCGGCAGGCTGCAGACTTGGGTCCTTTTCTGTGGCCTTTTCACAGGAGAAGGGGCTGGAGACAGGTGAGGAGTTCCACCTATTCTAAGGCCCTTATCTGGAATGGCTTTAAAAACCTGAGGACTGACAGGTAGGGGTGAGAATCCCTGCTCTTCTGATCTCAGAATAAGTTAGGACCAAAGCAGCAGAACTCCAAACTTCCTGAGGCAAGGTGACCCCCTGGAGACTGGGGAGAGGGGAAGGAGGAATGACTAGGATTTTAGGCTGTCATGGAAACTTTTCATTCTTCAGTCCTCCTAAGTGTATGGCAGGTGTCCTGAAAAATCCCTTCCTGCCGCCCAAGGCTGGCTGCTGCCTGCAGACGTAGGTGGGGGAGTCTGCCTCTCTGAAAGGCCCCCTCCCTCCACCTCAGCAACAGCAGCACAAAGGAGTCTCCAGTGTGTGCCTCGAGTCTGGCTCCCGAGACAGACGCCAGGGGTAAGGCTCGTGGTCCCCATGGAAAAGTCCCCTGTTCCCGGCAGGCCCTAATGCAGCCTGCAGATCACAGATGCAGCAGGTCAAAGGCCACAGAGACTGAAAGACAATACCCCTTCTGTCTTGTGTTGGTGATGTCCCAAGGGCCCTGCCTCTCTTCGAGGGACCAAGGATGCTGTGTGTTGATGTGGGTCTTTCAAGCAGCAAACAATCTGAATCCCCAGCGAGATGGGCTTGCATATATAGCATGGGCAATCCAGCCACCAGCCGGGGTGCGTGGGGGATAAAGAGGAATTACCAATTGTGGGGCGGGAAACCTACACAGCCAAAGGGATTACAACCACAGTGGACAGAAGGTCCCAGAGTGGAAAATCAGATGGCATTTGGAAATCCCTAGAGCTGTGCTTCTCACACGGGGTGATCGTGCCCATGGGGACTTATGGCAGTATGCCAGGAGCACACAGATCCACAGCGACCACCTTCCTACAGCATCAGCTGGGATACTTGTAATAAAACAGGACAGTGACAGCGAGGACGAGAATGCAAAATCAGATTGGATTTCAGGGATAGAATATTAAATGACACACACTGCACTGGAGGCCTTTGGGGCTCTGCACCCCCCTGCATTAGGGTAACTTAGAGACGTGGAGAGGCCTGGTTGTAAAGGAACCTTAGCTCTGTCATTTCACTGTTCCCAGATGGTTTCTGAGACTTCACCATGGGCTGAGCTCCTTTCTGTTGCTGAAATACACTGGCTAGTGGGGGCGGCGGGCGTCAATCTGGAGCACACGAGGACATGGGTGCATACATCGGAGGGTAGAGGGGATAAAGGGGAGGGGACGCTTCCACAGGGGTATAGGGCCTGAGGGATGGCTCAAAGGGAATGGGGAGCAATCCAGGCAGAGGGAACAGCAGGTACAAACTCTGTATGAGACAGGATTTGGCCACTGTGGCTAGAACCCATGGACTGATGAGAACGAAGACACGGGGTCCGAGAGGCCAGAGTGTGCGGGCTGGGCTTTCTCTTGACTCTTGGCCAACCATGGGGCAGTGTTAAGTGGCAGGGTGGTATGGCAGAGCCCTGTGCAAGGACCCCATCCAAGCAGCAGCGTATTAATGCAGGTCCCCAGCAAGACAGACAGATGGCCAAAGCCAGCCTGTGTTTTCAGCAAGGCCTCTTTGGAAGGTGCAAACCCCAAGAAGCCTGGTGACAGAGTAAGTCCTGCTCAGGTCCAAATCAAGCAGCCCCTTCCTCACACGTTCAGAGCCCAGAGCAAGAAGCAGGAGACACCAGGTAAGGGTGCAGGCCTGGCCTCATGAGGTCTGGTCTCAAATCTTGTCTGCCATTTACTAGGTGGGCAACCCAAAGCAAGTTTCTTACCTTCTTTGGGCCTTGGGAACATGGGGTACCAAGAGTGTCTGCCTTCAAGGGTCACTGTATGGATTCAGTAAGGCCAAGCTGTGAAACCTTCTTGTCACTTAGATGCTAAAAACTGCTGATGACCATTAGCACTGTTCACACCCAGAGGCAGAGGCGCAGAGACGGGAGAGGCGGTTCCACTTACTGGCCAGCAGGAGGCAGGACACGGCCACAGTGTACAGCTGCTTGGAGGTGGTGATATTGTAGCGGTCCATGAAGTGGTCCAGCAGGTAGACAGCCAGATGCCGGGCTGCAGGGCACAGCTGGCAGTGACTGCTCAGCAGGGTCAGGATATCCACAAAGAAGCGACGGCTCTTCAGGAGTGGGGAGTGGGCACGGAAGGTGGGCAGCTTCAGCTCCTACAGGACAGGTGGGCAGAGACAGGTCAGGGCTGCCACCGAGAACCTGGAGGCTGCAGACACTAGGACCATAGGGCCTGAAGGGGACTGGCTGGGCAGATGACTCCTTCCATACCCTGGCTCCTTCTGCTTCAAGTCCCAGGGTGGCAGTGCCCCATTCCAAAAACTGCTGACTGTCTCCCATTTGCCCTGCCTAAGCAAAGACTCTTTATGTATCCAGGACTTACGTGATGATAGGGGAAGGGTGCCTTCAAAAGTTACACAGGTCATGAAAGAATGATGGCGCGAGGCCAGGGACGGGCAAGCATCCAAGTTCTGTCCCCACTGCAGTGAAGTCCTGAGACCCTGGTTGCCCACCTTCCCTTGTTTCCTCTTCAAAAGCGGAGGATTAAATGCTAAATGTATGCAAAATGTCGAGCACACAGTAACTTCTTGGGATCCATAGCTGATTCCCCTGGTGAGTAAGATTATAAATGGCAGTTTTTGTCCAGGCGTGGTGGCTCAAGCCTATAATCCTTGCTACTCTGGAGGTGGAGATTGGGAGGATTCTGTTTGAAGCCAGCTGGAGCAACAAGCACATGAGACCACATCTCAACCAGTGGCTCGGTATGGTGACACATGCCTGTCATCCCAGCTACATGGGGAAGCACAAATAGGAGGATCACAAAGAGAGACCCTATTCTCCAAAATAACCAGAACAAAAAGGGCTGGCAGAGTGGCTCAAGCGGTAGAGCACCTGCCTAGCAAGCACGAGACCCTGAATTCAAACTCTAGTACCACCAGTAAGTAAATAAGGAACAAAATTAAGCTAAAAATGTTGAAATACTAGTACAAGGAACTCACAAGCACCCTTCACGCCAATTCACTAGTCATCAACATTCTGCCTTCTCTTTACACACGCGCTCACACACGCATACACGCACACTTTTTTCTAAAGCTTCCAGAACTCATGATTCTCCTTCTTCTTTGTAATTTATTCACTGCTGTGTTTATCTGAATTTACACATCTAACACAAGAAAAACCATCCAACAAAATACCAAGCCAATAAGGCCTTTTACAACAGAAAAAACGTTTTCTTGTCTATCAGTCTTATTTACCTTTCGATCAGAGTAGATCAGTCACTACTGGTGAGTGACGTTTTGCCAACCAGGGAACCAAAAGAGAAGCCGGCCGAGAAGGAGCTAGGAGCGCCTCTGGATGGCAAGTTCACAGGAAGATGAAATTAAAACAGTGGGAACATGGTGTCCTTCTGCGCCATGCTCCTCCTCTTCCCTTTCCTCTGTGGTGCTGGGGATGGAGCCCAGACAAGCCGACTTTCAAATAAGCAAAGGATTAAATAGACATTTCTTCAAACAAGGTTAAAAATGGCCAGTAAGAGGCCAGAGGCATGGCTCAAGTAGGAGAGGGCCTGCCCCGTAAACCCGAAAAAATAAAAGAGGACAGTAAGCACACAAAAACATGCTCAACATTACTAATTATTAGGGTAACACAAATCAAAACCACAGTTAAGACCAGATGTGGTGGTATACACCTGTAATCCCAACATTTAGAAGGCTGAGACAGGAGGATTGCGAGTTTGAGGCCAGCCTATAGAGTAAAACTGTCTTGAAAAAACGAAAACCCAAACCAAAGCTAGTAAGACACTAACATACACTAACTGGGATCTCTCTCTCTCTCTCTCTCATACGTGTGTGCGTGTGTACACACATACAATATATATACACAAACTCAAGATAAACAAGTGTGGGTGAGGATGGGGGAGCTGGAACCCTCATAAGGGGGAAGCTACCTGGGGACAAGCTTGGCAGGTCCTCAGATACATTAAGCACACAGTCGCCACGTGACCTGCAATTCCAGTCCTGGGAGAAATGCAAACACGACAGCACAAAGCCGAGTCCCATCACGGAAGCATTATTTAGATTAACCCCCTCTGAGGCTCCCCAAACGACGAAAGGACACAGTGTCATATATCCCCATATTGAAACGTAGCCCATGTAACCAGCGCCTTACCTCAAAAACAAGCTGGTTAAAAAAAAACCCATTTGTGCTGGGCGCCTGTAATCCTAGCTACTTGGGAGGCTGAGATTGGGAGGGTCATAGTTGGAGGCCAGCCAGGCAAGTAGTTTCTGAGCCCTAGCTCCAAAATAACCAGAGTGAAATGCACCAGAGGTGTGGCTCAAGCAGTAGAGCACCTGCTTTGCAAGTGTGAAGTCCTGGCTTCAAACCCCAGTCCCACTAAAAACCAACCAAACAAAAACAACCACTTGTAAAAAGCCACACGACGGGTAACTTAGTGAAATGTCTGGGACAGGCGATCTATACAAGCAGAACGCAGATCAGTGGTTTTGGGGGGATGAGGTAGGAGCTGATGGGAGTAACTGCTAATGGGAACGGGGTTTCTTCAGAGTGGTTCTGAGAGTAAAAGATAATGGTGACAGATGTACAACTCTGTGAATAGAGGAACAGCACTGAACTGCACACCCTGAAACATGAATTGTATGTATAAGAAGGATCACATCTCAATAAAACTGTTTAAAAAAGAAGTAAGGTAGACATTCCCCACACTTATGGAGCCTATGGTCTGAAAGAGAAACAGCCAGCAATCCACAATAAGGCATCAGGCCAGTGGCTCACGCCTGTAATCCCAGCTACTCAGGAGGCAGAGCCTTGTTTTGAAGCCAGTTGGGACAAGAAGTTAGTGAGTTCCCTCAACCAGACGTAGTGGTGCACGCCTGTGATCTCAGCCATGCAGGAGGTGGAGGCAGAAGGATCACAGTCCAAGGCTGACCCTGGGCAAAATTGCAAGACCCTATCAGAAAAATAACTAAAGCAAAAAAAAGACTGGGGTGAGGTTCAAGTGGTAGAGCACCTGCCTAGCAAATGCAAGGCCACGAGTGAAAAACCCCAGTATCACCAAAGAAATAAAAGTAAGGCAGTGATAGAATTCCAAGCTCTGATGAGTGCTACAAAGGAAGTCCAGAGGTGCATGAGAACCCCTCTTTCCTGAGGGCCGGAAGTGAAACTTGGCTCTGGGCTGACATTTCACACTGTGACTCCTCCTCCCCTGGCCCGGCCCAGAGGCCCAAGGCCCAGAGGCCAGAGGCCAGGGCTCAGCTACCTTTGCAGCCCTAGGGCTTCCCCTCCTGACACCTCTAACTGAAGAAACTAAGTTTGCAAGATTCCTCTCACCCCAAGGCTTTATTGAACTGGATCTGAGACCAGAAGACCTTCATGTTTCCTTTTCTAGTCTTGCTATGTAGCCCAGGACTGACCGCAGACCTCCATCTTCCTGCCTCTACTTCTTGAGTGCTGGGATTACAGGCACGCACCACCACACCCCACTCAACATTTTATTTTTGAAATTATGGAGATCTTTCACCTCTGGCTTAATCTTAAGGGAAAGACCTGCCGTCTTGAATGTTGCTCGTCCTCGCTGTTGGATAGATTTTGTTCCACTTTTGCCCATCTCTGCTTCATCAGCACCCAAGTGTGATTGTGAGAGTTGGGTCTCCAATAACTAACTGCTGAAGAAAGGAGTGAACTGCAGGTGTGGGACATGGAAAAGGAGAAATAAAGTCAAGTTCCCCCCCTCCTCTCCTACTCCCTTCCCCTGTTTCTTTCTTTCGTGGTACTAGGGGCTATAGAGTCAAGTTTTTCATTCCTCTCTCTCCCCTCCTTCCCTTCCTTTGTGTTTAGACAGTCTTGCCACAGCCTGGCCTGGAACTCACCACTCTCCCGCCTCCACCTCCGAAGTGCTAGGAGTACAGGTGTGCACCAGCATGCAAGGCTTGACAGGGTGTCTAGGAATTCACCCGTGAAGCTATAGGAAGGGTTCTGTGCAGGACGAGCAACATCTGCAAAGCCATAGGTGTCCCACCTGGGTCACCTCCAGCGGCTGGAACAGCCGGGCAGGGCCACAGCTTTCCTGGATGCCTGCTAGGATATCTGCCCTGTCCTGAGGGCAATGGGGAGCCATGGAAAGGCTTAGAGCAGGGCCTCCACCTGGTCTGAGAATTCTTCCATGGAGATCTCTTGGGAGACCCCCCTGCCACCCCGGACTAAGGCCAGTAGAAGCAGCTGCTGTGGGGACCACGGCTCCCCCGCCACCCACACACACACAACAGCGTCCCCACCCTCCAACAGCCCTGATGAGCCTGCAGGCCGCTTGGACGCCCCCTCCAAGCTCAGGCCTTTATGGAGGAGAAGCAATCACAATTACAGGTCCTTGGCGTCTGGCAGGCCGCAGCTGCCGGAAGCTAGCCTTTGCCAAGTGACCTTCGGCCGAGCCAGGCTACCCTCATCAGGGCTGTTCACTGCCCCAAAACACAAGTCAGATCTGCACCATCCTGACTTTCCCACTCAACTCAGCCAAGCAGCACCTTCTGGTTCCTTCCTTGTGCCTCGGAGGAGACGAGAGTTCAAAGCACACCATACACATCGTATGGGTGTCCGCTGCCTTGAGCAGATGCTCAAAGGAACATAAAAGAAAAAGAGTAAGGCCACCAGGTGAGGCAGCCACACAAGTGCAGAGGGCGTGAGCAGGTGAGGCCTTCTAGAAAAGGCTGGGTTTAAGTGTCACTTTGTAAGCAAGGCCTTTCCCTCACCTCCCCGTCATTCCAAATCAGGTTCTCTTTTTTCTTTTTGGTGGACCTGGGGTTTGAACTTAGGGCTTTGCGTTCTCAAAGCAGGTGCTCTACTGCTTGAGCCACACCTCCAGTCCATTTTGCTTTGGTTGGAAATGGGGTCTCTTGAACTATTTATCTGGACTGGCCTCACACAGTGATCCTTCGGATCTCAGCCTCCCAAGTAGCTAGGATTACAGGCATAAGCCATCGGTGTTCAGCTGTCTGAATCATGTGCCTCTTAATTCTTTCTCAAGCCTATTGTTCATGGCCCAAGTCTGCCTTATTTGTGTGTCTCTTCCTGCTAAGTTGCAGACTCCAGCAAAACGGGCCAGGTGTTGCGCACACACTATTCGCCCAATGCCCAGTGTGATGAG